GAAAGACCATTCCAAAAGCTGTTTCTTATATACAGGAAGCAGATCATATACCAAAAGCAGCTACTCAGCTGCTCCAATGGATTCCAACATGGAGTTAATTACCAGTCTCACCATGGGGAATAACTACACTCAGCTGCCCACCCACTCTACCGCCCCAACCAAGTTGACACACAAACTTAACCACTACACATTCATTTGCTTTTATTTGTGCATTCACTCACTAGTTCATTTACTTATTTATCTACTCAGTTTTGATTTGTCCATTTATCATCTGTCATTCCTTCAGTTGCTCATTCACTTATTCATTATACATTTATTCACTGATGCATTCCCTTATACATTCACATGATCATCAGTTCATTCATGTGCTCATTCAGTCATTCACTCATTCTCAGTCATTCACTGACTCACTCTTTAATTTATTCACTCACTCAGATGGTTCTTGGTCATATGGACCTTGCTCTGGGTCATACATCAATTGTTAGGAATGCCAAGTGTTCCAGTTACCTAGTGCCGCTCTGGCAGGAATGTACCACAAAGGGGATGCTTGAACAAACAGGAGTTTATTATCTTACAGTTTGGAGGCTTTAAGTCTGAGTTCAAAATGCCAGGCTCTAGGGGCTGGGTAAAAGCCCCTTAACCTTGGCTTCAGCTCTGTCTCCTGCTCCTGGCCCAGTGAAGCTGGGGGATTTTCTTCACTCAGCTGCTGGCCGCTGAGGCTGAAAAGCCCAAGGTTGATAAGTAAAAAGGCACAGTCCTGATGTTGCCAAACCACATGGCAGGCCATTAATTCAAGTCCATTTAGAGTCCCAGGATTAGCAGAGCATGGTCAGCTGCTAAACAATGACTCAGCTACATGCAGAGTTCAAGCGTGCCATAAGCTACAGACCATTCCCAAAGCTGCTGCTTATATAAAGGAAGCAGACCACATCCCTAAAGCAGCTACTCAGCTGCTTGTGGTAGATCCCACTATGGAGTTGATTGCCAGTCTCATCATGGGGAATAACTACCACCAGCTGCCCAGCCACTCAAGCAGGCCCAGCCAAGTTAACATACAATTTTAACTACCACACAAAGATAAATCAGATGTGGTTCTGCTGGGAGAAGGGACCTCAGGGACATATATGGCCCTCCAAATGAGGACAGTGTGATTTGTACAAATAGAAGTATAGACCTCCAAGGTCCAGGGCTTTAGGGACAGTCCTTGGGTTGTGGTGGAGCAGGGTCAGGGAGAGCTTTTTGAGCAGGGACTTCCGTGATGAAGAGAGGCATCTTTCTGGAATAAGAAGGGTGAAAAGCTTCCCAGTCAGAGGTCTCTATGGCTGGCATAGGCAGGGATGGTCTCCTGGAAGAAAAGAAACTTGATCTGGGGCTTGGGTTTGATTGGGATGGGAAGGGCATCCTAGATAGGAGGAACCATATGGATAAAAGCCCAGAGCAGGGAAAGTTTAAGGTATGTTCAGAGTATAGGGAGGAGACCAGCCTGGCTGGGTGGGAAGAATGGGAAGGAGAAGATAACGCTGGAAGCAGATTGGTGAACTACAAGGCATAAACCTGTGACTCTGGGAAGCCCAGGACTGGCAGCACAACCGAGGAGATCAGGCTGATGGTCTGCCTTTGTCTTTGTCCCCTTTCTCCAGTGTGCCCAGCCTGGAGCCTCAGGAGAAGGCCTCGGTCCAGTTCAACATCACCCCCTCCAAGAGTGGCCCCAGGCAGCTGCAGGTGGACCTTGTCAGCCCCCACTTTCCGGACATCAAGGGCTTTGTGATCGTTCACGTGGCTGCAGCCAAGTGATGGGCCAGGAGAGGCTGAGAGGGGAAGAGATGGCGATATCCCCTCCTGCCCACTTTTGTCCCTCCCATGTGGCAGCCAGGAAGCTTGGCTGTTTCAGCCTTTGTCTCACTGTGAATTTTGGACAAGTCCCTTATCCACCTGGGCCTCAGTTTTCCCATCAGTAAAATGAGATGTTTGGCTTGATAATCCTTAAAACTTCCTGTCAACTATGGATGATGTTACAACTTAAGAAGCCTCTGCCACCTTCATCTCTTTGTTCTTGTTGCTAGGAGGCTGATGGACCAGAGCATCACAGTACCTTGGCCCACTGGGCTCTGGCTGCTCAACCCAGCCAGCTCACCATTCCCCTGGCTGACCACCTAGACTCTCCTTGCTTCTCTCTCAGCTCTTCTAATTCCCTGACCACATCCAGACCCAGTAAACCTCTCCCTGTCCCCGACAGAGAACCTCAACTTGTTAGAGGTGAAACCTAACATTCCCTACTACTCCCATTTGACGGAATAGGAAGAATTTCATCCAAGGTCACACAGCAAGCTAGAGGCAGAACTGGGGCCACTTACTCTACGTAAGTTTTACCCCAAAGTCATGTTCCTGCAAATAATTAGATCTGAAGCAATGGGAGATATTTTCCCACAATGAAGACACAGGCCCAGGATCTGAGGGGTTGCTGCTGCCTGGAAGAAGAAGTTGAAGAAGATAAGCAAAGTACCACCAGACCTGGATTACATTTTCCCAGAATCTGTAGCCCCAAATTGGATCTAGTTCTAATCACCAGGGATTTCATACAGCCAACTAGCAATGCCCAGGGTTTATTTATTTGGGACCTGTATGGTACTGAGTTGGCAAAACACCCTCAGCAGTACAATCACACAGTGTCAAAACAGGACAAAGATACCTAAGACAAGGACCACAATAGAGACCACCAGGCCCTGAAGATAACTGCTGTTGTTGTTGTTTGCCGTCGAGTCGGCCCCGACTCATAGCGACCCCTCCTTGGGTTTCCGAGGCAGTATCACTACGGAAGTAGGATTGCCCAACCTTCCTTCCGAGGAGTGCTGGTGGGTTTGAACCGCCAGCCTTCTGGTGAGCAGTCAAGTGCCTTAGGCACTATGCTACCAGAGCTCCTAGTGAACTTAAAATTCAGCCCTGAGCACAGGGAGGGGGTAGTCACAGGGACTGGGTGGGAGGAGAGTTTTTTATGCCTGGGGATGGTAATCAGGGCAGTGAAATCAAATGTACATGAACTGTTGAATGTAAATCAAATTTGCTTTGTAAATTTGCACCCAAAGCACAATAAAAAATTTAAAAGTTAAAATTAAAAAAAAAAAAAAAATTCAGCCCTGAAATTTCCTAGGCAGCCAAAGGAATTATAATTAGGCATATAATTTAAATGATCTGAACAAGAACAAAGCATGCTGATCTGCAGAGACACCTCCTGGACATGAGCTCAAGCGGGAATCATGTATGTAGTGGGTCTTTGCAAAATGGGCGTCAGATAAACACATGGGAGTCCCTAGGTGGTGCGACGAGTTAACAGATTCGACTGCTGACTGAAAGCTTGGAAGTTCAAGTCAACACAGAGGCTCCTCAAAAGAAAGGCCTGGAGATCTACTTTCAAAAAGTCAGACATTGAAAACCCTATAGAGCACAATTCTACTCTGATACACGTGGGAATGCCACGAGTCAACATTGACTCAACGGCAACTGGTTGTTTTGGTAAACACAGCATTTGACGGAGGATCCTGTGTCTAAAGCTGAGGGCCTACCATCCGCCAGCACCTCAGTGAGGCCTATCTCTGGTGACTCCCAAAGCTCAGGGGTGGACTTGGAGAATCCAGGCTCATCTAACAAGTCAGAAGCACAGGCTTGCTTAGAGGGGCAGCTGGAGGGACCAAGTGGGTAGTCATTTCCTCAGGGTTGTATAGCAGGAAGGGACACTAGAGAGAAACCCCTTCTCTTGGTGTGTGTTGGGGAGCTGAATGGACGAGAGTCATCTGCTGGGTAGCTATGTTTCCGTACAGCTCCCCTGTATTGAATCCTCTCATCTGAGTTGAGGTAGAACTTTAATGGGACAAAACTGGCCCCACAGGTTATTCCAGTCCCAACTGAAAGCAGAGACCTCAGCAGCCAAGGAGAGAGCCCTAGTTGGGGATCAGCTCAGAGGCCCAAAGAGTGCAGGGTAATGTGGTTTTGGAAACTGCCAAGAAATATGTACAGGTAGGGATTACCCTTCAGTTGGTAGAGCAACACCTTGACAAAGCCTATAATGAAAGACAGAACAGGGGAATCTAGGACCAAGAAAATCTCAAAGTTGGCTGGCATGGAGTGGCCAATAGCCCTTTACGTGAGGCTCAGGTTTCCTTGCCTCTTAAACTCCATCTGAACCTTAATTGGGGGTCTTGATACAGAGTCAGGTCAGGGACCTCCAAACCTTTTGAACTGGCATTGGAAAACTTTTTCTGTAAGGGATCAAATGGTAAATATTTCAGGCTTCATGGGCCACATAATTTCTGTTGCACCTACTCAGGTCCACTGTTGCAGCATGAAAGCAGCTGTAGAGAATGTATAGAAATGAACATGGCTTTATCACAATAAGGAGTCTGGTAACACAAGCAGGAGCTCTGGTGGTGTAGTGTCTAAGGCATTTGACTGCTAACCAGGAGGCTGGCAGTTCTAACCCACCAGCCCATCCTTGGAAGGAAGGTTGGACAATGTACTTCCATAGTGATACTGCCTTGGAAATACAAGGAGGGGTTGCTATGAGTCAGATCCAACTCCATGACAGTGAGTTTGGTTTTTTTGGTAACATAATGGTTAAGCACTTGGATGCTAACCAAAAGGTCAGATGAAGCCTTGACCTCAGACTGAGCTCCAATTCTGACCTCTAATAGCCTTGATTAAAGCTAAACTCTGTCTTACCCCCAGACTGAGCTCTGACCTCAAACAGAACCCTGATCCAGCCTCAGACTGAGCCATGACCTCAATCAGAGCCCAGCCGTATTGGGCTCTAGGCCTTGGCTTTGAATTTCTCTTCCAGATCAGAGTTTCTCAAAGTGGGGCCTGTATACCCCTCTGAAGTACTAGATGTCACTGAGTAAACACAGCCCATCTTCCTGGACTGGCATTTTGAGCTCATCTTCCTTTCCCTTTGGTTTATTTTGGCAAAAATATTTAAGAAGTGTGGTGATCCTCCAGAACCTTCTAGTTCTGTCATGAGAATCTACATTCATGGCCCAGTCCTCAAGGAGTAAATACTTCTTCCCATCACGAGGGTTTGCTTTTCCTCTCATGCATTTGCCAAAAGCGGAAGGATCTCTGCTAAGCACTTGCCACTGAAAAAGGAGCCAATCTATGACTCATCATAGAAAGGATGCTCCCTACAGCAGGGAGGCTGCCAAGATGGGTGTCCCCTTGGGTGGTTCCAGATACCTCATTCTTCCAGCATGCCCATCTTCCTCAAGACCAGTTCCCATAAGCTGAGTCTTCTAGAAAGCTGATTCTGAGGTGGAGTTAAGGGGGCAGGATGTTTATTAAGGAGTAAATGTGGGATCAGCACCTGTGAGTGGAAGGGAGAGAAGGCAGGTGTGGGTAGAAGGAGCCTCAGTCAACCTCACAGGAAGCTGTTGAGCTCCAACGGTCTGTCGGGGTTATCCCAGCTTGAGCTGAGATGGTTGGGCTTTTATATGCTCCATCTGTAAGTAATTCGCCCCAGGAAGGGGTGTGGTGTTAGGTAAGACAGGTCTCTGCAGCTGAGGCAATCTGAAAAGTGCTGATCACTGAGGGTCACCTGTTGGCAGCACTTCTAGGAGTTGGAGCAACAAGCCCTCTACTGATGGGAGGTCTGGGCAGTGTATCCCCAAGCACACCACCCGCATTCTGTTAAACCCCAAGGACAGAAGAGTGACAGGACAGAGAAGCTCCCTACTGTCATGGAAATTACCTTCTAGCTGGTGGAGACAGATAGGCAATCACAAGAATGTTTAAGTATATAAAAAGAAAAATGAGAAGTAAGTTTAAATAAGTAAACAAGTTCATGAATAAATAAGCCAATTAAATTTAATGATAAGCACCACAAAATTAATAAAACTAACAAGCACCCCCTGCCCTAACTGGTGAGAGACAGGATATCACCACTTTAGATGAGGGGATCACAGAAAGTCTCTTAGAGGAAGTGACATTAGAGCTGAAATTTCAATAATAACAATAAAAAATAGTGATAAAAATGAACTTAGTGAGTGTGCTTATTGCATCCCGGGGACAGTTTCAGGTGATTTATACCTGAAACACTCAGTGAAATAGGTACAGTTATTGACCTATCCGTGAAATAGGTAGTTATTTTTTCTAGTTTCCAAATGGAGAAACTGAGGCCCCAAAAAGAAGTTAAGTCACTGCACACAACTGCATGGCAGACCTGGTATTGAAACTCAGGACAGCAAGCTTTAGTGGCTCTTAGGCGTTGTGCTTTACCACCTGTGAAGAGCTACCTGTGCAAAGATGTGGGGAACTGTCCTCAAGGCAGAGGAGATAGAGTATGTGGAAGAAAGGTTGGGCAATCTACTTCCGTAGTGATACCATCTCGGAAACCCAAGGAGGGGTCGCTGTGAGTCAGGGCCGACTCGATGGCACATAACAACAACAACAACAATCTCCCAGTAGCACTTCAATTTCCTTATAGGAAATCACCTTTCCTGGGTAGTCTGGAAGGGTGATTCTTGGACCTGTCTCCTTTTACAGAAGCTGCGTGAGCCCTATTCTTCATCCTACTCTCTGTACAGTCAGGGATGGACACTTTGGCTCAGATGAAGTTTTTTTCCAGGAAATGGAGTTAGATTTTATCAAATGCCTTTTCTGCATTGATCGAGGTGATCATGTGGTCCTTTTCCTTTGTTTTATTTATGTGGTGGATTAGGTGATTGATTTCTAATACGTAGGTATAAATCCCACTTGGCCAAGATGGTTTGTTTTGTTTTGTTTTGTTTTGTTTTGTTTTGATATGGTATTGGAGTCTATTGGCTAGGATTTTGTTGAGAATATTTGCATCTATATTCATGACAGATAACTCACTGCCATTGAGTTGATTTGGA